GAGAGAGAGAGAGAGAGAGAGAGAGAGAGAGAGAGAGAGAGAGAGAGAGAGAGAGAGAGAGAGAGGACTCAAACTTGGGACGCCCGAAGCACAAAGCCCCACGAGGCCATCAGCGCCAACAGCAGCAACATTTCTAATTTCTGTCTAATATTTATATATTTTTTTAATTTCAACTATCAAAAATGTTGCTTTACACATAAAAAAGCCCGAAAGCCATCACACATGACTGTGCTGCACTTAAAAATTTGTAACTCTGGCCCTTTAAGAGCTCTGAGGTCAATATGAATAATTATCAAGGCTAATTAACCCCGGATTGCATCTAACATGTGGATGTGACCCTCCGACCTACCGCTGGAGCTCTGCTGCTGCCTGACCCAGTGACCCACTTTCCGTCAACAGAGTCCTGAGAAGCCCTCTGCCTGCCTGAGTGTGCCGCTGCTGGGCTCCTCTGCCTCGCTAAGCTCCTCCTAGCCGTTTTCCCGCTCAGCTGCATGTACGGCGGGTCTCGTGCTCTTCTGCCCACCCCTGCAGCTCCGAGGCGGCGTCACAGGGACTGGGAAATAATGCAGTCATAGTCCGAGGCCAAACGAGGGCACTTATTTAAAGCAGGGATGCGCCGTTATTTCAATATTGCGTTATATGCAAACGCTAAGACAGATGGCGGAGTGTGTACGTGCACAAGCAGACACTTCAGCGCATTGAGAGGAGGGGGGCAGCGCGCGTGTACGGGGTGTTCTGGCGCACAGCAACACCAGCGCCACAGCTAAATATATCCATAGGAAAGGAGGGGAGGATGACGGAGAGCAAAAAATAAAGCACGACAGCCCTCGGTCACGAGCAGGCTTGACTCACGAGCACAAAAACAGGCTCTTCGTTCACCTCACGCACCCTTGACGTGACTCACGGAGGGAGGTGGAGAAAAAAATAAAATCACGCCTTGTGAACACTCATCCTCACTGCACAACTGTTCGTTTTGGCCGGGGTGGCAAAATGCCACACCTTTGTGTATTGACGGGTTTAACGGTCGAACTGTGAGGTGTGTGCGACTGGAATTCCTCATACTCCGAATGAATCATTTTGTAGCCAAGTTTGAGGAATTGACGCTTTCATATGGAAGCAATTACAGGCCAGTTTCCAGATATGGGATGTAAATGTGGCCGGATACGTAGGTTATAGGAGCGTAGGTTAGACAGAAAACAGTGAAGCTCAGTGTTCGATAAAAACCCTCTCCTTCCTCCCACCCCAGGTGAGTGGGATGCTTTTGTTTGGAGCACAATGTGAAGCCCTGAGGCAAAATGGCACGCTAGTGGACAAGGATCCGGCAACAGCGGGAGACGAAAAATCACTCGGTTGAGTCTCTGAAAAACAAGATTCGAATGAATGGAGGGCTTTTGGTCCTTTGTATAAAACACCGTAACCTCGAATAGAAGTAAGAAATATTTTAAAGCAGGGAGAGGAAAACGCAGCACTTCAGTTTCTCACCTTTCCTCATTTTTTTCCCCACATGTGTTTAAAGGGTTAATTCGCCCAAGAATGAGGATTTTGTCATCATTTATTCACTTGTGTAATGTTTCTAACCTGTATGACTTTATTTGTTCTGAGCAGCACAAAAGGAGAGGTTTTGTAGAATGTGCACGCTGCTCTTTTCCATACAATGAATGTGAATGGAGACTAGGGTAAGGTATTCACAAGCTCTTGATTCAGTTTGGTACAGTTCAGCTAAAATGTCAATTTTTATAACACAAAAGAAATTCTCTTTCTTCAAATGCTGTAAATTATATAGAGTAGATTCAGATCAACTTCTTGAACTGTTCATTAATTGAACCTTGGCTGTATGTTCTTGATTCACTAAAAATAAATATCAATTCTTTTCTTTTATGTTTGAATTAGTAAAAAGAAATGGCTCGTATGAATAATTTGTTTTTGGGAATCAGGCTACACTGGTCACTCTGTATATTTATGATTCACTAAAAAGAATCAGCTCAAAAGAGTCATTTGTTTAAGAATCAGGATACACTGGTCACTCTGTATATTTATGATTCACTAAAAAGAATCAGCTCAAAAGAGTCATTTGTTTAAGAATCAGGATACACTGGTCACTCTGTATATTTATGATTCACTAAAAAGAATCAGCTCAAAAGAGTCATTTGTTTAGGAATCAGGATACACTGGTCATTCTGTATATTTATGATTCACTAAAAAGATTCAGCTCAAAAGAGTCATTTGTTTGGGAATCAGGCTACACTGGTCATTCTGAATATTTATGATTCACTAAAAAGAATCAGCTCAAAAGAGTAATTTGTTTAGGAATCAGGATACACTGGTCATTCTGAATATTTATGATTCACTAAAAAGATTCAGCTCAAAAGAGTAATTTGTTTAGGAATCAGGATACACTGGTCATTCTGAATATTTATGATTCACTAATAAGAATCAGCTCAAAATAGTCATTTGTTTGTGAATCAGGCTACACTGGTAGTGCTGTATATTTTTGATTCACTAAAAAGAATCAGCTCAAAAGAGTCATTTGATTGGGAATCAGGATGTATATATACACTGATCGTGCTGTATATTTTTGATTCACTAAAAATAACTGGCTCATTAGAGTCATCTCCATTCACTTTCACTGTACAGAAAAAAAGCAGCGTGAACATTCTGCCAAACATCTCTTTTTGTGATCCTCAAAAGAAAGCTAGTCATATGGGCTTGGAACAACAAGAAGGTGACCAAATGAACTTATCCTGTAAGGGAAGTCTAAATCACCAGTGCATGTGGATAACCACCGCCCAGATTCCCTAATTAACAGAATCCACCCCTCCCTAAACAAAAATTTGCAAGGCACGTCTACAGCTCGCCAAACGCGGGTGCTCTGTAACTCTGTTTACCCAACAGCAGGTCAGAAATATGGCTCTCAGTAGGAGGGGCATCCATCCCTTATCAGCCAAAGTCAAAAACGGAAGTCATCTGAGGCCAAGTGAGACAGTAAAATGGCTGAGGTCATGACTACTACACTACTAGCTGAATGACAAACGAAAGAGACTGGAGTTTTCAGTGATGCAGCAGCTCTGAAAATAACCTACGCTTCTGAGAAACCCACATTCTCGGTTTGTGTAAAAGAGCATGAATCGTAGTATATTAAACATCGTGAGGGACAAATGAGACAGCCGTTTCTGTGGAAACCACAGGCTTTGATCTGCACCCCCCATTTCCGTCTACGACTGAAACAGCGTTGGCAACTTTGGTGGCGTGAGAAATGTGAACTTTCGGATGACGTGAGGACTTTCCGAACACATTCTCGTAATAAAATATTGAAATAAATAACCCCGTCTTGTTTTTTCTTTAGTTACTCTGAACATGAAGACATTTCCTCATCTCTTAGGTCCTAAATATTACTCAAACTGCCTGCTATAACAGGGTAAATAGCAGTGCATGTGTGTGTTTTATGGGGGGTCTCGTCCCACTGTCAACCGATTCAGCAGCTCAGCATCACTGGAGTTAATCACAGTGTGGAATCTGTGTGTTATGATTACTGCACATGTGCAATGACTGTATGATGTCAGAAACAACACAGACAGAGGAACAGTGTCTGACTCAGAATGGATGATACGACTCCAAACAAGCCTTTTTGACACCATTTAGGGCACAATAATCGTAGAAACTAGATGAATACATTTTCAAAAGAAAAAGTCAATGGAAAACAGCTTGTCGCCAAAATGCTAGGGCGTTTTGGGTGGTTGCCAGGGCATTGCTACAGTGTTTAAGAGCCCCCACCATCAAGTCTCCATGATATTCGCAACTCTACATTTCCGAATCTGTGTTTCAATACTAATATACAATGTTTTTTTTCCCAGTTTTATCTTCTACCAAACCACAAGCCTGATCATAAAAGTCCAAGGTTTTCACATGTACCGTAATTTCGCCATCAGCATAGTATGCAATTTTTGAGAAGTTGCTCACAAGGAAGCCAATGACCGGGGCTTGATGTACAGCTCCACCTCTCTGGACATAACGAGTGGAGCTTAAAGGTCCAATTAATACACTGTAGCCCTAAACATATCGCAATCACTAAACATAACTAGGTAAATCTGCACCCATTAGGTCCACAGAGGCGGGGCTAGACTAGGTCAAGCTCCACCCATTCATCTCTGCAGTGAGCACGTAGGAATTTTTCGGGCTTCCCATATTGATTTTTCTGCACTGATTAGCTATTCAACATGGTGGCAACACTGACGTTGAATGTTCTTTCACTTTCAAAAAAGAAACAGAACAACAACAGACTCCCGCGCTTGTATGAGGGGTTCAGAAATAGGTCATGTCATAGGATGAAATTATGAACCTTTATAGCGAACATGTAAAAAAACAAGGTATACTTTGGCCTTTAGAAAAAGAAGGTGGTGTCATTCATAGAAAAAGAGGCGTCATTCTTGTTTTTAGTACAATAGTACAGGATAAATAATGCACTAAATATTTAATACTAAGAGCTGGGAGTACATTCAATGTGTAATAATCTTCAATAATAATGTATATGCTAGAAAGCAACTTTAAAAAGCCAATATTCAAGTCCAGCAGGCTTTACAACCCCCTAGTAACCACTAAAAAGTCAGTTATTGCCAAACTTCCTAGAGAATCCTGCATACTAGCTTGTTTTTCAAGAAATGTCAGCCATACAGGCTACATTATGACACTGTCCCTTTCAGGATGTATCCAAATGGTAACCAAAACACAACACTATCCCAATGCAAGGGCTGCCAAACGAGCAACCCCGGTTTTAGACACAAGTGACAAATTTGACACTTCCAGAACAGTACACAATACTTCAAAAGATCCCAAATGTTATATGCGGTCCATCCTAGAAAGATACAACCGCGAAACAGTGTAAAGGAAACATCAAAACTGTGAAAAACGGTAAGATACCCATTACGGGACACAAATAAAATATGTCAATAAAACACACTAACAATATGGAGATACCGTCCTCTCGCCTAGTGCACTACTCGCCTTTTGTTTAACACCCTCCGTGTGATATTTAGCCGGCACGAAGCTTATTTCACCCTAATATATCCACTACAGTTCTGCACACACACTTATGGCAGATATTTACAATGTTTAAGTTATCTAGAGTTTGACGACAGTTAGTGTTGGGTAAAAAGCGATAAAGTTAGCTAGCCCTGCTATCTGACTGTTAGCATGACGCCTAACGTGAATTTCAGCCTCCAGAAACATTAATTAAATGCAGAGTCATACAAACTATCGTTTCAGGCTGAATAAGTGCATTAATGGACGTTTAAACAGTTTGTTCGTCAACAACCGTATCCAAATGGTAACCAAAACACAACACTATCCCAATGCAAGGGCTGCCAAACGAGCAACCCCGGTTTTAGACACAAGTGACAAATTTGACACTTCCAGAACAGTACACAATACTTCAAAAGATCCCAAATGTTATATGCGGTCCATCCTAGAAAGATACAACCGCGAAACAGTGTAAAGGAAACATCAAAACTGTGAAAAACGGTAAGATACCCATTACGGGACACAAATAAAAGATGTCAATAAAACACACTAACAATATGGAGATACCGTCCTCTCGCCTAGTGCACTACTCGCCTTTTGTTTAACACCCTCCGTGTGATATTTAGCCGGCACGAAGCTTATTTCACCCTAATATATCCACTACAGTTCTGCACACACACTTATGGCAGATATTTACAATGTTTAAGTTATCTAGAGTTTGACGACAGTTAGTGTTGGGTAAAAAGCGATAAAGTTAGCTAGCCCTGCTATCTGACTGTTAGCATGACGGCTAACGTGAATTTCAGCCTCCAGAAACATTCATTAAATGCAGAGTCATACAAACTATCGTTTCAGGCTGAATAAGTGCATTAATGGACGTTTAAGCAGTTTGTTCGTCAACAACCTTGCGTTTCTGAGGTAAATTAATAAGTGTTATACACACTCTCTCTGCTATAGCAGGTTTTGGTTTGCGGCGGTGTCTCAAACTCTCGTCAGCTGCCTACCTAGTAAGCGAAATATTTCGGTCGTGTTTAAGTTAACTCAAGCGTATGATAAATAAAAATATTTTAATAAATGACGCAAGACTTGTTTCGGTATCTGTATAAAGAATCTATAAAGATATATAATATAAGAATTATAAAGTGAATAATTTTATGACTTGCTTATAACATCCAAGAATAAACTCACTTGTAAACTAATTGGCATAATAAATATAACCTCCAAAAAGGGTCATTGACAAATGAAAATAATTCAAATTCAAAAGATTTGAATCACAGCAAAGACCCATTTTCTTTTTATTTACGCGTTTAATCGCATTAGAACTGCTTAGCCAGTATAAACATGTTGCCTAGGCAGACAGCTTACGAGGATTTGAAACACTGTACGAGCTGGCCAACTGGGTCACAGCAGGCTACACACAGTGTGTATTTCCTGCGATTCAAATATTAATATTAGCTGAGGTGATAACAGATTTCTTTTTCTTTTTTATTTTTTTTAAACAAAACGATTATGTCATTTCAAGTCTAATGTTTAGTGGTCTTCCGAACACCTTTATGAACAGATAACGTTACACGTTTAGGATATATTCAACATTTAGGATATATTCAACACTTTTAGGATGTACTGGCACTCTCATGTCCCAATTTTAAGCGGTTCTTGGTTCTTATAACACCAATATTGAAACAAGCACATTAAAAAAAAAAAAAAACAAGACATTCACACACTATGCACACCATGTACTCGTTCAGATAACGTTAACGTTACACGTTATTCTCTGCCTACATGACCCACTTCGCTTTATCGCAAGGGAATCCCAGTGTTTGTTTCGGTTTGTATTAAAACAATAATACTGATAGTACTTACATATACAGGTAAGGGCCACGGATAGCCTGCCGCTTCGGCTCCGACCGGCGACTTCAGTTTTAACTCCAGCTTTTCTCCCATTCTCCCCAAAACAGCTAATGGACGAGACACAAACTAGAGTAAGAGCATTTCCGTGAAAAAAACACCGGGTTTAACGCGACAGGATCTCACGTTGGATATCGCAGGCTGCGGGTGATTTAACACAGTTGTGCCGAGCGATTTGGTCGGTTTGAATCCGATGTGCCCCCCTGATTTAGAGAAAATGATCGATTAAGCCGAGCGGCTGCTCCGTCTTGGCAGTACCGCCGCCATCTTGACCGGCTCACGATGAGAAAAAAAAATGCGCCCGAGTGTGTGTATATGTGTGTTGGTGGTGGGAGGCCCGATTCATTTCTTCGAATCGGTTCTTTTGAACAATTCTTGTAAAAACAAAAAAACCCGCTCAAACGAGTCTTTTACGTCACCGAACGCTCACTGGCGTCCATTCGTCCTTTTTCGCATTTGGCTCCCAAACTCTGGAACGAACTGACAAAGGGAATAACACGGTAACGTCTGGATCCAACCCTAACAAAGATCTGAGATGACCGAACACCTGAGAGAGATGATGCCAACCCCTCAGAGGACCTCAGATGATGCCAACCCTGAAACAACATACAGAACTACCACCTTTTTCTACAAGTTTGACTGCATCATATAATATTTGCTGTTAATAGTGTTCATCGTCTGTTTGATTACGTCTTTAATTGATTTTTCCGTACATTTCTGCCATATGTAGACTACATCAATTTGACAGTCACTGATGAGCTACTACTAAATATATTGTAGAAACTTAATTTTCTGTAAAGCTGCTTTGCAACGATTTGTATCGTGAAAAGCGCTGTACAAATAAACTTGAATTGATTTGAATGGTTGCAACCACAGCCGTTTCTGAGGAACTACATTGCTCGGCGGAAGAATAATATTTTTATTTATATCATTACATTTTATTTGCTTTGTTTTATTTTGTGGTGAGTTTTATTTTTCAAATTTTATTAAGGGGTGAGTAAATGATGACAATTTTCATTTTTTGGTGAACTATCCCTAACGAATTGCTCTCAACTGTTTTGGGAAGCGGTTCCACTGATTCCTTAAAAGATCCGACTCACATGAACGATTCGTTCGTGCTTGTGTAGTGCGCAGGTCGTACCATCAAAACCGAAACGAAAGGGAGAGTGGAAATTGGTATGTATAAAACTAGAGGGGCGAGGCGTCTGTTCTCTGACACACACACGGCGGGGATTTCTCCTCGACAACTCTCTCACATTGGCTGGGTAACGATGACACGGATCGACAATTAACCGGGCGGTTTGAATCAGGACGCCGGTGCCAATAACCGTTGAATGGGCGGGACGTAGGCCTACCATTTTACCCCAGCACATGTGCAGAATGTGAAGGACCCATGTTTACTATCAGGACCAGTTTGCTGGACCTTTACTTTCAACTTAAAATGCAGGGAGAAAACCATAGACTGTATAAAAACGTGAAGTGAAACTAATATATTCGTTTTCTTTTAGATAGTACTTTTATTAATATTCTTGGAAAGATTTGAGAAATTATTCAAAATGATGGTGGCATAAAGGACAATCAACATTCGTATAAACACTTCTATACAGCCGAGGCCAAAAGTTTTGAGAATGACAAATATTAATTTTCACAAAGTCTGCTGCTTCAGTGTTTTTAGATCTTTTGTCAGATGTTACTATGGTATAGGCCTACTGAAGTATAATTACAATAATTTCAGAAGTGTCAAAGGCTTTTATTGACAATTACAATAAGTTTATGCAAAGACTCAGTATTTGCAGTGTTGACCCTTCGTTTTCAGGACCTCTGCAATTTGCCCTGGCATGTTGTCAATCAACTTCTGGGCCACATCCTGATTGATGGCAGCCTCAACGATTTGTATCGTGAAAAGCGCTGTACAAATAAACTTGAATTGATTTGAATGGTTGCAACCACAGCCGTTTCTGAGGAACTACATTGCTCGGCGGAAGAATAATATTTTTATTTATATCATTACATTTTATTTGCTTTGTTTTATTTTGTGGTGAGTTTTATTTTTCAAATTTTATTAAGGGGTGAGTAAATGATGACAATTTTCATTTTTTGGTGAACTATCCCTAACGAATTGCTCTCAACTGTTTTGGGAAGCGGTTCCACTGATTCCTTAAAAGATCCGACTCACATGAACGATTCGTTCGTGCTTGTGTAGTGCGCAGGTCGTACCATCAAAACCGAAACGAAAGGGAGAGTGGAAATTGGTATGTATAAAACTAGAGGGGCGAGGCGTCTGTTCTCTGACACACACACGGCGGGGATTTCTCCTCGACAACTCTCTCACATTGGCTGGGTAACGATGACACGGATCGACAATTAACCGGGCGGTTTGAATCAGGACGCCGGTGCCAATAACCGTTGAATGGGCGGGACGTAGGCCTACCATTTTACCCCAGCACATGTGCAGAATGTGAAGGACCCATGTTTACTATCAGGACCAGTTTGCTGGACCTTTACTTTCAACTTAAAATGCAGGGAGAAAACCATAGACTGTATAAAAACGTGAAGTGAAACTAATATATTCGTTTTCTTTTAGATAGTACGTTTATTAATTTTCTTGGAAAGATTTGAGAAATTATTCAAAATGATGGTGGCATAAAGGACATCAACATTCGTATAAACACTTCTATACAGCCGAGGCCAAAAGTTTTGAGAATGACAAATAATAATTTTCACAAAGTCTGCTGCTTCAGTGTTTTTAGATCTTTTGTCAGATGTTGTATAGACCTACTGAAGTATAATTACAATAATTTCAGAAGTGTCGAAGGCTTTTATTGAC